GGAATGGGATTGTTAATTTGTGGGTTGAAGAGTAAAATTGTTAATTGAGGTATTACTCGTGATAGGAGATAGGATGATTTGGCTGATTAGTTGAGTGGATTTATAGGGATTTGAGTGGATTAAATAGTTTTACTTTGATTATGGATGCAGTGGTAAATTCAGATTTGGATTTATAAAATCCCAATTGTTTAAGTGTAGTAAAATTGTAAAATCTTAATTATTTTCAAGTATAGCATTTGATTTTGTGGAAATTTTAGTATGGAAGCAACGGAGGATCCAGAGCAGGATAAACAAGTGGCGATTATTATATTCGTTGTGAGTTTGTTTGAGATCAATTGAGATTATTGTTATTTGCTGGTGATAAGGGACTGATAAGGCACTGATAAAGTCTGATAGAGTGGTGGCGGCAAAATCAGATCAATTGTTGTAATCAGATCAGATTAAGTGATAACTGATTGTGATTGTGATCGAAAGTGTGATCAGTGATTAGTGAATGATATGAGATCAATCAGTTGTGATCTAGATGGCAATAGCTGGGATGTGTGTGAATCTGTTCGTGCTGATATTCATCCAGCAGATCGACTCGATCCGAAAGCCGTTCGTACAGACGAGTGTATCGCAGATGATCGCTGATTTCACGGTGCTGTTCACATTCGCTGCTTATGCGGCACCGAGGACGTTCTTGTGAGCTTTGTTTTGGGGTTTTTATTGGGGGTTTTGAGGGGATATTGAGGATATCCGGCGATTTTAAGGGATATCATGTGGGATTTGTAGGGATTTGGAGGATATCCGCCGATTTTGAAGGATATCGTAGGGGATTTGTAGATATTTAAAGGATATGGCATTGGATATGTGAGAGATTGAAGCTTTTCGAGCCGTTGGAATGCATTGATTTGAACGGATCTACACGGATTTGAGCGGATCAATCGAGATGAAATGAAACTGAGATAGATAGGTTTTTAAGTGAGATTGTAAACTTACTTGTTAGATAGCTGAAAGAATATGGTTTAAGTTTCATATGAATGAATGAAATTTGGTTTGTTTCCCGGGAAAGATTTCGCTCACTCTTCCCAGAAAGACTCAGTCAGCTCTTTCCGAAAAGACTCTGCTTTCCCGGGAAAGAGTCAGCTTTCCCGGGCAGTCTGTTGTGTGTTTGCAGTAATGATATGGAAGTGCTAAAGAACACGACGTTG